AAATGACAATTCCCCAAGTTCAAGGAAGTCCTGCTATGGAGCCTTTTGAAGGTAAGATATAAAGACGTTCAGTATCTGATTTGAACGCGGTTCGCGGTTAAACGAACATAACGTTTTTCAACTTGTTTTGCAGCAATGTTTCGAAACCAGATGCACGTGTTTGTCGCCCGTTCAACCATAGTTTTAGCAATTGTGTACCACTTATGATTTGTTTTGTATTTATCATTTTGCTTTCTTTTACAACTGCATTTCATTTCATTTCATCCTTCTCCACCCCCTTACCCGTTCATTTAAGACTACTAAAATTTCTGTCCTCTTTCATTCTCCTTAGGTAAAACCGAAACGAAATCTTCCCAAGAACCAGCCGTTTTCGCCTCTAAGCTTCCTGCAGGTGAGATAGACATTGTGGTTAAAAAATAATGCATTTACATCAACAGCATCACGTTCACGGCAAACGGCAAAGGTGAGATTCCATTTGTGAAATTTTCAAAATGAGAAATGAGCAAACAAAAACGAATGTTATAGATGGAATTGACGCGAATTCACCGATTTTCGTGTAGGTATAATGAACAGTAAACGATGAGTAAATGGAAAACTTGGTCACATGGTTCAAATTCACCTTTGCCCTGTGCCGTAAACGCGATGCTTAGTAGAGAGTTTAAGCTTCACGTACACGGCAAACGGCAAACGGCAAACGTCAGATTCAAGTTGAGAATTTCTCAAAATAGAAAATGTGCAGATAAAAACAGCTCAAAACAATTCTTATGAATAAAAAATTGCGTGAAACTACTAATTTATGTCTAGAAATAATGAACAGTAAACGACAAGTAATGGGGGAAACTTGGTCACGTGGTACAAATTCGCGTTTGCCGTTTGACGTAAACGTGATGCTTAACCTCTCTTATCGCGGATATTTAAGCCCCGCTCAATGGACTTATTCGGTTAACTCAACATTGTACCCAATTCAAATCTCCCGGGGTTAAGAACCACTAACACCAGATGCAAAGGAATGTGTTGATGAACTTCGATTATGGTACCTAATGGATATGCAAACAAAAGATAAGCTCGAAAACCTAGATGAAAAGATAGAACTGATGGAAATAAGACATGAACAAAGGCACATGGAAATTCTCATCCTCGTTGAAAGTCTTAAGGCAAATGAGCCAGTTGCTAGTTCATCTCCACAAGTGGAAAGTACCCAATTGCATTCTGAACGTCTGCAGACACGTATACCTATACCTCCAGAGCAGCCACCAGCAGAAAGTGCTGCGAGTCTACCCACAAGCACGGCACTGCAAGCCTTTAGTCAGAAGAATCGTCAAGTAGTTCATGATTTCTGGTATTTTGTTCATTCATTCAAGAACTCGTTAAATGTCTTCATCAGCTACTTGAAAAAGAAACTTGGAGTTGACGTTGACGGCTACAGGGAAAGTAGCTTGATCCTAACAGTTTCCTGCAGTTCTTTAGAAGTCCTTGAAGCATTGCGGAAGGAGGGAATCTTAACAAAGTGTTTCAAGCTACACTTGTAACGGCAGAGGTTCTGGAAAAGCTTGACCTCAATGAGTTTAAACTGAGAACTTTTATTTCAGAGCAAGACTACTTGTCGTACAAAGATTTTTTGAACTACAGGCAAGGTAATCATAAATGTCCTCAAATGGCTCTGGTTAATTTCTTGTTATAAAAACTGTGACCTACAAACGTGTGTGATAGGTAATTTTGGCTCAGTCGCTTCATGTATATATTACCACGTTTGTGATGCTAGCGGAGTTACGCGTGCACGGAGCCGTGAGCCAGCAAAGCTCTCTATATCCTTTAGTAGATCATTCCTTTGTCTCCACATACGAACATCGTTACAGCCAATCATTTCAATGTGTCACAATTACCATGGTATAGTCTGATGTCATTTCATTCCATGTAATTTCATTTCATTTCATTTCATCCGTCTCCATCTCCTTACCCGTACATTTCAGACTACTAAAATTTATGTGCTCCTTCATTCTCTTTAGGTGAAACCGAAACGAGAACTTCCCAAGAACCAGCCGTTTTGGACTCTAAGCTTCCTGCAGGTGAGATAGATGTCGTGGTTCAAAAATAATACATTTATACAAAATGAGAAATGAGCATATAAAAACAGCTAAAAACAATCGTATTAGAAAGAATTTTCGTGCATCTACCGGTTTTCCTGTAGTTATAATGAACAGTAAACGATAAGTAAATGGAAAACTTGGTCACCAGGTACAAATTCACGTTTGCCGTTTGTCGTAAACGCATGCTCCATCTCTCTATTCTTGAAACTTTTAAGCCCCGCTCAATTTGCCAAAAGTTTATTAATTCTTAAGAACCGCGCCCAACTTAAAGACGGACAGAAAAAAATTCTGTCTTTATGTCCCCGGTAAAATGATTAGGAAGTTTCACGTCGTAGTTGTGGGGAGGACGTCAAAGAAATGTACTAAAACGTGTAATGCACCCGCAGAGCTGTTTTTCTCGTGCGTGAACCAATTGTTTATTGAAGTCCACAGTATTGTAATGACGGGAGCCCAGCTGACCAGGCTGGAAATTCCCAATGCACGGGCCAAAGCCAGCAACAGGACAGAGGGGAACACTGCTCATTCGAACTGTGCCTGTGCCGGATCGTTACGGTTTCGGGCTTACCAACATTCTCGATCTCAAATCTTGCGTTTTTGACTCCGCTTATCATGCGCAGAACATCCGTTTCACGAACGGCATGGCTGGCCGCGCAAAACTGGATCGGGGACGCAGTTTACGCGCCAAATGCAAGTCATTAGGCAAACCAACGTGAAACCTTCACGAACGCGGACAGAATAATCCAGTTGAAAATGTCTTTCAAAGATTCCACTACGCTTTTTAAGTTATAACATAACAAAAGAACATACAAGGATTGGAAACTGTTATATCAGACATCAAATATTAACCATTTTAACTGTGTTCATACTCACGTCTCTGAACCTCTGGTTTCAACCTGAGAACTCGATCGCGTTTTGAAGTCCGTGCCTGCAGCCCAAGAACGTCGTGACATTCCCAGTGGCTGTCATGCTGCAAAAATACTTCGGTTGGCGTCCGTGGTACCAAGAACGTCGAGGCTTAAGTTCCCTACTGAACAATTTTTAACCGGAGACAGTGACAAATTATTTTCCATGTGAAAGCTCAGAGCGTGTCTATAATTCTCTGAAATTGAAGAAATAACATTTGTCCAAACCATTTTTTTTTTTTATCAAAAATAAGTCCTTCTGCGAAACAGCCCCCAAATCTTTGTTCTTGGCCCCGCCTAAGTATCTACCAGGATTTGATTACGCGCCGTGATTGGCCTTTCAAATAAATCATTGTCAATATGCCAATCAGCGTGAAAGGAAATTCAAAACGTACTTCCGGTAATTCGTTCGGTCCTTTGGGGGTCTAGAACAAGGAAATCGGCGCTGCTTTGCATACGTTACTAAAGAGGGTTAAATTGCATCTGCGGCGCAGGCTACACTTCTTGTTATACCGGGGTAAAAGTCACATGGGCAAAGTGAGTCAGCTCGGTTCAAGTAAGCAGGCCATCAAAAGGTAACACGTGTGGTAATAGGAACAAAGTCCGTCTCTTTCATCTGTTGCTAAGTGAAGAAAAGTGTAAATTTAGAAATTAAAGCTTTAGAAGGAAATCTAGAAATTTTGTCTTTTCATCTTCGTTATAGGTAAAGGGAAAATGACAATTCCCCAAGTTCAAGGAAGTCCTGCTATGGAGCTTGTTGAAGATAAGATAAAGGCGTTTAGTGTCTGGTTTGAACTTTGTTGGCGGTGAAACGAGTAGCCTGAGTTTCATCCGATTACTTCGAGTCGTTATTACTCCCTCAGTAACGTCTGAATCGACCGGCCGTTAATGCCGTCCAGTGACGTCACTACTCCTTGACCTTTGCTTTAATTCATGCAAAAAGCAAAACACGATTTTCAAGTGGCAAACCGAGAAATATCGTTTGGAAATGTCTGCAAGATACCGAACTGCTTTATTTTTTTCGATTGTAGTTCATGTTTAACGTTCAAACAATCAACTGCATGCGGTACAACTCTGAACCGGTTGTACTAAATTCTATATTCAAACTCGGTCGCAATCACGCAATGAAATAAAACATGATAAAAACACACACGGAACACTTAGTTCAAAAACAAAATGATTTGCTTTAATTGAAAAGAAGCTATTTGGTCCTTAACGAAGAAAAAAACAAGGAGAAAAGAAAGAAAAGCTAACAGAATCATCACACTTGACGGTGAAATAGGAATTAAAATTCAGAAAACTTCGCGTAAACAAAATCACCGGCCGCCGAAACCACAAAGCGGCTCTGAATGAAAACTCACCTACCGACTCTCCGCGATGATTCTTCATTCGCAGTTCAATTTAACATTTCAGTTTCGAAGACAAGGGCAATTTTGCTGTTTAAGATAAAGATTAAGCTCATACAAATGTTTGAACTAACCGAAAGAATGCCAGGGATGAGACCGCTGGATATCAAATGACAATCCCGCTAAAATTTTTCATAATTATACATAATTATGCGAATATTTAGACAATCAACCAATCAAAATAACTACCCGGTTTTCGGGTAGTGAGTGACGTCACTGGAGGGCATTAACGGCTGGTCGATTCAGACGTTGTTGAGAGGAGAAAACGACTCGAAGCAATCGGATGAATTTCAGGCTATGAAACGAGCATAACACTTTTCAACTTGTTTTACAGCAATGTTTCAAAACAAGATGCACGTGTTTGTAGCCTGTTCAACCATAGCTTTGGCGATTGTCTACCAACTTATAATTCGTTTTGTATTTATCATTTTGGTTTCTTTTACAAAAGATAATCCCTGCGAGCTCCTATGTCCAAATTCAATTTCTAGTGCTGTTTGGGTATAACGCCTTAGTTAGCACTTCTCTGCTCGTAGATAGATAGACCTAACGCTCTCATGCTTTGCTGTTGCAGCTAAGGAGAAGGTGCTCGGCACTCGCAGCCGGGAGACTACACCTGTTTCTCGCTCATTACTGCGTGACCTTGCAGTGGATCTTGGCACAAAATGGAGGGAACTCGGAAAAATTCTTGGACTTGCTAACTCAGTACTTAACTATTTTGATATGCAAGACCTGAGTCTAAGTGGTAAAGGAAATGCGATGCTCGGTGAGTGGAAGAGATTAAATGGCCACGATGCCACGATGGAAGTCTTACAAGAAGCCCTGACGAAAATAGATATGGGTTATTTGATGGAAAAAGTTGCAGGTACATTTCTAAGATGCTGGAAAATTAAGCAAACACATAAGATAGAATTAAAAACACGCAAACACTCGCAAACAACTTTGTTTACAAGACGCATTTTCCATTGATGAGAGGCAGGGACAAAAAAAAAAGATGGAGATGACCTCGCTAATTGCTAATTGGGCGTGAGAACAGTGGTCGTTAAAAAGTACAGAAATAACGCTATTCGAGAGCGCTAGAGTTCCCTTGTTAAAGTGAAATTACGAGCAACCTATTAGACAGATTCTCAGACGCTGCTGCCCCAGTTTTACTCCGAGACCCTTTCCACCCGAGTCGAAAGAGCTTGCCCCGCGCAGTTAATCGCTGTTTCCTGTTAAGATGCAGTTAGGACCTCGAAGCTTGAGAGGCTATGATCACTGGGCTGGTCGTAATAGAAAATGTAAATATAAGAGAGAATAATTGCCCAATAATTCTCTCTAGAAAAAGCAAAATACTTGATACATAGAATGTGCCAATCACAATATCAAGCACCTGTTTGGTGCGTTCGCAGAACGCCATCCTAAATTAGTAGCCAGAAAAAATCGAGATTTTTCGGGACAGACTTCCAAATAGCCTGGCCTCTTGAAAGAACGTAGCTTGTCCTGGGTACGAACGATACAAAACACGTGACTCGTTTTTCGACCAATACGAGATGACTGTTGGTCCACGTGACTTGTAACACACAGCGAAAACTTTCAGAACGTTTCTTGATCTGTTTGCCTTTTAAGCTCGATTCAAGGTTTAACTGATGCTAGTAGCGAAGGCGAGAAAATCAATTTTTAACGCGAACACAGGTGAATTTTGTTCTGTTACTTTCGTTTGTTTGTTTTTATGGCGCCTTAAATTACGTGGGTATATTTCGAATTCAGGCATATGCAATTAAGTGCGTTAATTTTTGGTGTACACGGCGTACAAGAAATGTTCCTTCGACTTTCGACTTTCGTTTAGTTATTTTAACAAATAAAGTTTCATGAATTGTGGTGTGGATCTTTCAACTTTGAGCCACATAAAAACCGCATGCAGCGTTCAAGTTAAATAATTATTGCTGGAGGCTTTCCCGGTACCACTGCACTTTATTTTTTTAAGTAATGATTTAGAAACTCTAAAAAGGAAGCTTATATCCTTCCGATTGATTTCATTAGAGAGCTTAAGCAAAGTCAAACAAATTCAAGCCAGTTTTGAAGGAGCAAAACATTACTCTGCACATGCACGATGCACGCCTTTGTGTCGGATTTTTTTTTTTTTCGTCGCTGCGTGACTAAAAATCTTCTTATATTTTATTAGTACAAATAAAATTATCCGATTATTGCCAATAAATTTAAATCCTGCAGCTGAAGAAACTAACACGTGGGTCAACTAACAACTAATTTCATTTTGTTGTTAACTGATGCGCAATCTAATTATGCAGCACATATTGTTCTATATCAACCTTTTTACAATAAAATTGTTTTTTAACAATATGTTAATCATTGCCATCATCATCAACATTTTTTTCTCCCTGGACACTAACTCATAGAAGCCTGTAAAAATCTATGGTCTGCCCGGAAATAACTCACTTCGCATATCGAACTCACTCTTTAATCTATGATTACCCCTAGTTTAACTTATAATGGGGCTAGGCAATTTGCATATAATATAATTGTATTTCCTCGTTTTCGTTAGGTAAAACAGTATCGACAACATCCAAGACAGAACCAACAAAGGCTGAGTTTTTGGCAGGGAAGATATACAAGTTCTTCTTCCTCACTAATTACGAATCTGGGAGCGTAGGAAAAATGTCATTTTACAAAAGATAATCCCTGCGAGCTCCTATGTCCAAATTCAATTTCTAGTGCTGTTTGGGTATGACGCCTTAGTTAGCACTTCTCTGCTCGTAGATAGATAGACCTAACGCTCTCATGCTTTGCTGTTGCAGCTAAGGAGAAGGTGCTCGGCACTCGCAGCCGGGAGACTACACCTGTTTCTCGCTCATTACTGCGTGACCTTGCAGTGGATCTTGGAACAAAATGGAGGGAACTCGGAAAAATTCTTGGACTTGCTAACTCACTACTTAACATTTCTGATATGGAAAACCTGAGTCTAAGTGGTAAAGGAAATGCGATGCTCGGTGAGTGGAAGAGACTAAATGGCGACGATGCCACGATGGAAGTCTTACAAGAAGCCCTGACGAAAATAGATATGGGTTATTTGATGGAAAAAGTTGCAGGTACATTTCTAAGATGCTGGAAAATTAAACAAACACATAAGATAGAATTAAAAACACGCAAACACTCGCAAACAACTTTGTTTACAAGACGCATTTTCCATTGATGAGAGGCAGGGACAAAAAAAAAAGATGGAGATGACCTCGCTAATTGCTAATTGGGCGTGAGAACAGTGGTCGTTAAAAAGTACAGAAATAACGCTATTCGAGAGCGCTAGAGTTCCCTTGTTAAAGTGAAATTACGAGCAACCTATTAGACAGATTCTCAGACGCTGCTGCCCCAGTTTTACTCCGAGACCCTTTCCACCCGAGTCGAAAGAGCTTGCCCCGCGCAGTTAATCGCTGTTTCCTGTTAAGATGCAGTTAGGACCTCGAAGCTTGAGAGGCTATGATCACTGGGCTGGTCGTAATAGAAAATGTAAATATAAGAGAGAATAATTGCCCAATAATTCTCTCTAGAAAAAGCAAAATACCTGATACATAGAATGTGCCAATCACAATATCAAGCACCTGTTTGGTGCGTTCGCAGAACGCCATCCTAAATTAGTAGCCAGAAAAAATCGAGATTTTTCGGGACAGACTTCCAAATAGCCTGGCCTCTTGAAAGAACGTAGCTTGTCCTGGGTACGAACGATACAAAACACGTGACTCGTTTTTCGACCAATACGAGATGACTGTTGGTCCACGTGACTTGTAACACACAGCGGAAACTTTCAGAACGTTTCTTGATCTGTTTGCCTTTTAAGCTCGATTCAAGGTTTAACTGATGCTAGTAGCGAAGGCGAGAAAATCAAATTTTAACGCGAACGCAGGTGAATTTTGTTCTGTTACTTTCGTTTGTTTGTTTTTATGGCGCCTTAAATTACGTGGGCAATACTGGGTATATTTCGAATTCAGTCATATGCGATTAAGTGCGTTAATTTTTGTTGTACACGGCGTACAAGAAATATTCCTTCGACTTTCGACTTTCGTTTAGTTATTTTAACAAATTAAGTTTCATGAATTGTGGTGTGGATCTTTCAACTTTGAGCCACATAAACACCGCATGCAGCGTTCAAGTTAAATAATTATTGCTCGAGGCTTTCCCGGTACCACTGCACTTTATTTTTTTAAGTAATGATTTAGAAACTCTAAAAAGGAAGCTTATATCCTTCCGATTGATTTCATTTGAGAGCTTAAGCAAAGTCAAACAAATTCAAGCCAGTTTTGAAGGAGCAAAACATTACTCTGCACATGCACGATGCACGCCTTTGTGTCGGATTTTTTTTTTTCGTCGCTGCGTGACTAAAAATCTTCTTATATTTTATTAGTAAAAATGAAATTATCCGATTATTGCCAATAAATTTAAATCCTGCAGCTGAAGAAACTAACACGTGGGTCAACTAACAACTAATTTCATTTTGTTGTTAACTGATGCGCAATCTAATTATGCAGCACATATTGTTCTCTATCAACCTTTTTACAATAAAATTGTTTTTTAACAATATGTTAATCATTGCCATCATCATCAACATTTTTTTCTCCCTGGACACTAACTCATAGAAGCCTGTAAAAATCTATGGTCTGCCCGGAAATAACTCACTTCGCATATCGAACTCACTCTTTAATCTATGATTACCCCTAGTTTAACTTATAATGGGGCTAGGCAATTTGCATATAATATAATTGTATTTCCTCGTTTTCGTTAGGTAAAACAGTATCGACAACATCCAAGACAGAACCAACAAAGGCTGAGTTTTTGGCAGGGAAGATATACAAGTTCTTCTTCCTCACTAATTACGAATCTGGGAGCGTAGGAAAAATGTCATTTTACAAAAAATAATCCCTGCGAGCTCCTATGTCCAAATTCAATTTCTAGTGCTGTTTGGGTATGACGCCTTAGTTAGCACTTCTCTGCTCGTAGATAGATAGACCTAACGCTCTCATGCTTTGCTGTTGCAGCTAAGGAGAAGGTGCTCGGCACTCGCAGCCGGGAGACTACACCTGTTTCTCGCTCATTACTGCGTGACCTTGCAGTGGATCTTGGCACAAAATGGAGGGAACTCGGAAAAATTCTTGGACTTTCTAACTCACTACTTAACATTTCTGATATGGAAAACCTGAGTCTAAGTGATAAAGGAAATGCGATGCTCGGTGAGTGGAAGAGACTAAATGGCCACGATGCCACGATGGAAGTCTTACAAGAAGCCCTGACGAAAATAGATATGGGTTATTTGATGGAAAAAGTTGCAGGTACATTTCTAAGATGCTGGAAAATTAAACAAACACATAAGATAGAATTAAAAACACGCAAACACTCGCAAACAACTTTGTTTACAAGACGCATTTTCCATTGATGAGAGGCAGGGACAAAAAAAAAAATGGGAGATGACCTCGCTAATTGCTAATTGGGCGTGAGAACAGTGGTCGTTAAAAAGTACAGAAATAACGCTATTCGAGAGCGCTAGAGTTCCCTTGTTAAAGTGAAATTACGAGCAACCTATTAGACAGATTCTCAGACGCTGCTGCCCCAGTTTTACTCCGAGACCCTTTCCACCCGAGTCGAAAGAGCTTGCCCCGCGCAGTTAATCGCTGTTTCCTGTTAAGATGCAGTTAGGACCTCGAAGCTTGAGAGGCTATGATCACTGGGCTGGTCGTAATAGAAAATGTAAATATAAGAGAGAATAATTGCCCAATAATTCTCTCTAGAAAAAGCAAAATACCTGATACATAGAATGTGCCAATCACAATATCAAGCACCTGTTTGGTGCGTTCGCAGAACGCCATCCTAAATTAGTAGCCAGAAAAAATCGAGATTTTTCGGGACAGACTTCCAAATAGCCTGGCCTCTTGAAAGAACGTAGCTTGTCCTGGGTACGAACGATACAAAACACGTGACTCGTTTTTCGACCAATACGAGATGACTGTTGGTCCACGTGACTTGTAACACACAGCGGAAACTTTCAGAACGTTTCTTGATCTGTTTGCCTTTTAAGCTCGATTCAAGGTTTAACTGATGCTAGTAGCGAAGGCGAGAAAATCAAATTTTAACGCGAACGCAGGTGAATTTTGTTCTGTTACTTTCGTTTGTTTGTTTTATGGCGCCTTAAATTACGTGGGCAATACTGGGTATATTTCGAATTCAGTCATATGCGATTAAGTGCGTTAATTTTTGTTGTACACGGCGTACAAGAAATATTCCTTCGACTTTCGACTTTCGTTTAGTTATTTTAACAAATTAAGTTTCATGAATTGTGGTGTGGATCTTTCAACTTTGAGCCACATAAACACCGCATGCAGCGTTCAAGTTAAATAATTATTGCTCGAGGCTTTCCCGGTACCACTGCACTTTATTTTTTTAAGTAATGATTTAGAAACTCTAAAAAGGAAGCTTATATCCTTCCGATTGATTTCATTTGAGAGCTTAAGCAAAGTCAAACAAATTCAAGCCAGTTTTGAAGGAGCAAAACATTACTCTGCACATGCACGATGCACGCCTTTGTGTCGGATTTTTTTTTTTCGTCGCTGCGTGACTAAAAATCTTCTTATATTTTATTAGTAAAAATGAAATTATCCGATTATTGCCAATAAATTTAAATCCTGCAGCTGAAGAAACTAACACGTGGGTCAACTAACAACTAATTTCATTTTGTTGTTAACTGATGCGCAATCTAATTATGCAGCACATATTGTTCTCTATCAACCTTTTTACAATAAAATTGTTTTTTAACAATATGTTAATCATTGCCATCATCATCAACATTTTTTCTCCCTGGACACTAACTCATAGAAGCCTGTAAAAATCTATGGTCTGCCCGGAAATAACTCACTTCGCATATCGAACTCACTCTTTAATCTATGATTACCCCTAGTTTAACTTATAATGGGGCTAGGCAATTTGCATATAATATAATTGTATTTCCTCGTTTTCGTTAGGTAAAACAGTATCGACAACATCCAAGACAGAACCAACAAAGGCTGAGTTTTTGGCAGGGAAGATATACAAGTTCTTCTTCCTCACTAATTACGAATCTGGGAGCGTAGGAAAAATGTCATTTTTCAAAAGATAATCCCTGCGAGCTCCTATGTCCAAATTCAATTTCTAGTGCTGTTTGGGTATGACGCCTTAGTTAGCACTTCTCTGCTCGTAGATAGATAGACCTAACGCTCTCATGCTTTGCTGTTGCAGCTAAGGAGAAGGTGCTCGGCACTCGCAGCCGGGAGACTACACCTGTTTCTCGCTCATTACTGCGTGACCTTGCAGTGGATCTTGGAACAAAATGGAGGGAACTCGGAAAAATTCTTGGACTTTCTAACTCACTACTTAACATTTCTGATATGGAAAACCTGAGTCTAAGTGATAAAGGAAATGCGATGCTCGGTGAGTGGAAGAGACTAAATGGCCACGATGCCACGATGGAAGTCTTACAAGAAGCCCTGACGAAAATAGATATGGGTTATTTGATGGAAAAAGTTGCAGGTACATTTCTAAGATGCTGGAAAATTAAACAAACACATAAGATAGAATTAAAAACACGCAAACACTCGCAAACAACTTTGTTTACAAGACGCATTTTCCATTGATGAGAGGCAGGGACAAAAAAAAAAGATGGAGATGACCTCGCTAATTGCTAATTGGGCGTGAGAACAGTGGTCGTTAAAAGTACAGAAATAACGCTATTCGAGAGCGCTAGAGTTCCCTTGTTAAAGTGAAATTACGAGCAACCTATTAGACAGATTCTCAGACGCTGCTGCCCCAGTTTTACTCCGAGACCCTTTCCACCCGAGTCGAAAGAGCTTGCCCCGCGCAGTTAATCGCTGTTTCCTGTTAAGATGCAGTTAGGACCTCGAAGCTTGAGAGGCTATGATCACTGGGCTGGTCGTAATAGAAAATGTAAATATAAGAGAGAATAATTGCCCAATAATTCTCTCTAGAAAAAGCAAAATACCTGATACATAGAATGTGCCAATCACAATATCAAGCACCTGTTTGGTGCGTTCGCAGAACGCCATCCTAAATTAGTAGCCAGAAAAAATCGAGATTTTTCGGGACAGACTTCCAAATAGCCTGGCCTCTTGAAAGAACGTAGCTTGTCCTGGGTACGAACGATACAAAACACGTGACTCGTTTTTCGACCAATACGAGATGACTGTTGGTCCACGTGACTTAATTGTAACACACAGCGGAAACTTTCAGAACGTTTCTTGATCTGTTTGCCTTTTAAGCTCGATTCAAGGTTTAACTGATGCTAGTAGCGAAGGCGAGAAAATCAAATTTTAACGCGAACACAGGTGAATTTTGTTCTGTTACTTTCGTTTGTTTGTTTTTATGGCGCCTTAAATTACGTGGGCAATACTGGGTATATTTCGAATTCAGGCATATGCGATTAAGTGCGTTAATTTTTGTTGTACACGGCGTACAAGAAATGTTCCTTCGACTTTCGACTTTCGTTTAGTTATTTTAACAAATTAAGTTTCATGAATTGTGGTGTGGATCTTTCAACTTTGAGCCACATAAACACCGCATGCAGCGTTCAAGTTAAATAATTATTGCTCGAGGCTTTCCCGGTACCACTGCACTTTATTTTTTTTTTGGTAATGATTTAGAAACTCTAAAAAGGAAGCTTATATCCTTCCGATTGATTTCATTTGAGAGCTTAAGCAAAGTCAAACAAATTCAAGCCAGTTTTGAAGGAGCAAAACATTACTCTGCACATGCACGATGCACGCCTTTGTGTCGGATTTTTTTTTTTTCGTCGCTGCGTGACTAAAAATCTTCTCATATTTTATTAGTAAAAATGAAATTATCCGATTATTGCCAATAAATTTAAATCCTGCAGCTGAAGAAACTAACACGTGGGTCAACTAACAACTAATTTCATTTTGTTGTTAGCTGATGCGCAATCTAATTATGCAGCACATATTGTTCTATATCAACCTTTTTACAATAAAATTGTTTTTTAACAATATGTTAATCATTGCCATCATCATCAACTTTTTTTTCTCCCTGGACACTAACTCATAGAAGCCTGTAAAAATCTATGGTCTGCCCGGAAATAACTCACTTCGCATATCGAACTCACTCTTTAATCTATGATTACCCCTAGTTTAACTTATAATGGGGCTAGGCAATTTGCATATAATATAATTGTATTTCCTCGTTTTCGTTAGATAAAACAGTATCGACAACATCCAAGCCAGAACCAACAAAGGCTGAGTTTTTGGCAGGTAAGATATACAAGTTCTTCTTCCTCACTAATTACGAATCTGGGAGCGTAGGAAAAATACCCTCGACGAGTTACCTAACCCATTGATGTGCCTACGGATTTACAGAAAACAGTGTGGCCGAGGCCCGCTCTGACCACAATTCCAGACGCGCTGAAAATTGACTAAACCGAGACTGAACCACAAACGGTGTCCTGGTAGCTTGAATTTCAGCCATCTAGACGAGTCGCAAACTCCCGAGGGAAACGTCTGAATTAGAGAGCCGCTAATGCTGTCCAGTGTGACGTCATTACCCGAAAACCGCGGGTAGTTGGACTTTCACTGAACATTCAGCGGATCGCATGCTTGCGTAGACCGGAGTTCAAAGTTTCGACAATTTCTATCGTAAACAGGAAAATAGCCCTTCTCTTCGAAACTATGACTTGTTAAAACGAACTACCAGTGAGGAATCAATGTAGAAAGTCGGGAGGTTTTCCTTTAGCGCCGCTTTGTGGTTTCGGTAATAAATTCGTTAAGCGAGGGATCGGTGATCAATTAGTCTCCTTCATAGCCGCTCCCGCTCGAGCCGGAGTCACGCAAGCTCCCTGCTCCCGCTTGCGTGACTCAGGCCCGAGCGAGGCTAAGGAGACTTGTGAGATTTATAACAAGCTTGTGTCGTGTTACTAAGGCAAATTTTCGACCTTTCTGTCATTTCCGCTGTCGAGTGCAATGGTTCTGCTAATTTTTCTTCCTTTCTTTGCTTGCTTGCTTTCTTTAAATAGACAAATTGAACGAGGTTTCGCCACAGAGAGCCCTGACACTCAACACAGCCTTCTCGAAGCCAAATTATGAGAATTTGTTTTTTGAATTTATGATATAAATATATATGACAAAACGGTTATATTACATATAAACAGCCATTAAAGTGCACATACCTCATATAGACTGAGATATCTTTGTGTCGTTTTCTAGCTTTTCTTATTGTTTTCTGCCCTAAAAACGTCATCTTAGAAAGTTTTGAAGACAGTCTTATTCTTAGTACACTGTAGGTAAGAAACCAAAACACCAAAACTTGATAAAATGACGTTTTTAGAGTAAATACAAAATTAATACAAATCCTTATACTTTGTCTTCGAGGAGGCTGTTGTGAGTCTGGGTCCCCTGTAGTGTCCCGTATGCATTTCATTCTTCGTTTCCATGATCGGCTTTGATTATTACCGAGTGAATTGATTCAGACGTCTTTCTCGGGAGTTTGCGACTCTAGGAGACGGCTAAAATTCATGCTGGTGCTCTCGGTGATTTCGCTGGAGTTAAACATTTGTACTGCGGTAAAAGCCCGCGTGTAAGAACCTATAGCTACATTTTTTGAAGTCTGGAAAAAGAGATGCTATATTTTGGGGTAGTTATTGGCAATTTAGGCTAAATAAGTTCTTAATTACTGTGAAAGGTTTGAACCCAGGAGTCATTTCATAAGTAGATTGAGTGTGATCGCCCGGGCGAACGTAGTCCTGAATAGGACTGTTGTTGTTGACAGTTGACTGACGTTTCGACAACCTGTGCGGTAGACATCTTCAGAGTCAAAGTGAGTTGCATCACGTCAGCCTATGGTATTAAGCTCTGATTATTGACCTGACTGGTCAATTTTAAAAGTCGCGATGTTATTGGTCGTCTGTCAGTTTAGCTGTAATGTTATTGGCTATGAAGACACGTAATGTCATTGGTGCGTTTTGATCCGTCTATTGTCACAATTAAACAGTCAATTATTGTTAGTGAAATAAATTGTCAGTGGTCCAGTCGTTCTCTTGTAGTTAGTTCATCAGGTTAGATATTTCTATGAAGGAGATATAGTTGTTGGCTACCAGAAAAATAAATAACAATTTTTAGATAGCTGGATATTGGGCAAGTTCTATTTCGCGTTGTTATTGACCGAGACGAAGTCGAACAAGCTTGGTCAATAAAAGATTTATTATATGGCCAAAAAGAGAACTTTTTCTTGCGGGACCAACGCGAGAAATCCCGAGCGGGCAAGATGAGCCCATCTTACCCACTTGGGTAGCCAGTCAGAACGCAGGATTCCCTTCCTCTTTGCCGCCCGCGGATTCAGCTGCATAATAAACAGTATTTATTCACATTTGTATTACGAAAAGTCTAACTAAACTAATTACAGATTTACGTATATGTTGTATCATCTCTAGAATGGGAGTTGTACAATAAAAGAGGAGACAAAAAATTTAATATAATGCATGAATAATAAATAAATAAAGTATTTCCTTGTTGTATAAATTTGCGATTTAAAAGTCAAACTCCGTGATTAAATGGTTTATAATAATTATTTAATTATAACCCACATATAAGAACCTACTTGATCTTGCTCGGCTAAGCAGGTTCTTATGTTTTGGGGCAAATTTCTGCCAGCGGGTCACTGTTCTTAAAACAGTTGATTCTTACCCGCGGATTTTTACTGCAGCTCAATTGCAATGAATTTTAATTTGGTTCACGTCATGGAAGTGTATTCACATATTTGCAGGACTAACCCATGGAAAGCCCAGCCGGGTGGTCAAAGGTGACTACTTCGCGACGTCTGGTTATGTCTTTATAATAAACAACTATCCCATTCATCGGTTTGAATTAGAACACACCGAAAAAAGGGTTTTCTTAGAGGAATTCCGCTTTACGACCAGAGAAGACGTCTACCTGACTAAAAGTGACATGTTACAGGCACTAACAGACACAGCACAAAGAGATTTTTCCAATAACGACTGTTTTTGCTGCATCATCCGGAGCACTGGGACAGAACATGGAATTTGTGGAACTGATGACGAGCCCATTGACATCAACACGATCACATCGCTTTTCACAAGAGATAAATGCCCCTCTCTTGATGGCAAGCCAAAAATATTCGTGTTAAGACATAAGAATTCTAAATACCAGATAAAGCTTCCTCCCTTAAGGGGATTTAAACGTCCGCCAACATCAGAAGACATTAAGGCCAGCAGTATACTGCGGCATCTTGTTATTCGTGAAAAAGATTTTCTCGTATGGAACCGTTTTGACGATGTTTCGTCGTCCCGGTACGATTTTGTTCATGGTCATAAATGGCTGGAGTGCCTATCAAGAAGAATGAGCCTACGGGATGCGATAGCTGCCGATATGTTAGAGAGTACAAATGAAGACCCTTTATTCAGTACATTGGAAATGAACGTGTTTTTTGATCGAAACTTTTCCCACTACAGGTAGTTTGACACTTACGGTCAGCTCTCTTGTAATAAACGACCACCCTTGGTGAAGGGAAAAGTGGTCGCTTACAGAAGTAGTCGCTTGTGGAAAAACATAACAAAATAAGCTCAAACTTAATTACATCGTAATTAGCGTTAGGTAATTAGTATACTTGAAACTAGAAAGCTTTTCTTTTAACGAGCAGCTGGTACCATGCAGTTAAAAATTTATTACTCATTAAATTAATCATAAATCATCTAAATTCAATTTTAAGGGCCAAAACCTGGAAAAAGGATGTGAAACTTGGGTTGCATTGACTTGCTTGCACTCTAGTTCAGACTGTACTTTATAAAATAACTCGGTCGCATTTGAGCGCGTCTCCACGAAGTCTCGAAGGCCCGTTTGCTTTTGTGTTTTGAGCCCCAAGTCAACAAGAATATCAGACACTTAGTGAGTGCAAAGGATAACTCTTCATATCCCCGACAGTAGTCGGCGAACTCATCTATTCTTGGAAGTACACTCTGTCTCGGCTGTTACTAAATTTGTTAGCACTCTGGGTCAGAAATGTTGTGAAACTGAACTTATCTTTTGTGGCATTCGAGTAATTCTAGGGGGGGGGGGGGTGGTTGCAGAAAACAAAAAAACGTCAAATTTGTGGCCCTAAAATTGGTAAAATAGAGAAATAAGAGTAGTGGTCGCGTATCAGATTCTGGGCAAAAATCCGCGACCCGCTTGATTGTAAGGAGAGACCTCTTTAAACTTTGCAGTACATAATTCTACATAAAGCTGGGTGTCATAATTGTCGAGGTATATTAGTGCTCGTCTTCCAAAAGACTCGGCTAAGGTTTTAATCGAAAAAGCACTTCCTCTAATTAATCCACCCTCAACGTATAATTTGGGATACATGACAGTCCTCAGCGAATGCACGTGTGAATTGGCCTGTTCTGCGACCTGACAAACCCTATATAATAGAGGACAGTGCATCTTCTTAAATTTTTTAGATTTTTTAGGAATTTATCGGGCTCTAGCTTATTTCGCTATTTTTAATTTTTTGTCATTTTATTGTCGGCGTTGTCATTTACAATACTCTACAATGTTTGTTAATTAACTTACTAGTTTCTTCTACACTTTTACTACAAGACTTGTGCATGTAGTCCCCTTGTATAAAGGGCCATAGAACGCAATTATTGGACTATAAGTAGACTTATTGTGATGCTGTATCGGCAAGTGGGAGAAACACAATGATTTAGTTTTAACAACTGAGTTGGCAAATTATCACTGCAAACAAGATTTAAAAGTGTGCGTTTCGAGTGCCCTCCGTCAGTCAACCTGACTCAATCTCTTAAAGTTAGTAAATCGACTTATAATCAGCTCAGTTGATAAAACCAAACAGAGGTGTAGTTTAGTTATTTACTAAGAAAATATCGATGTTCGGGATATGAGCCCGGCGAGCTCTTCCTGGAAATCGAGCCTAGGCTATGTTCACACTATACTGGATAGCTATACCGCCGGCACGAAAACCAAACCAGATATGCTAAGAACGGGGATTTCGGCGCGATTTCTGTAACGGAGCGAAGCTGCGCCGCGCCGATATCAAAAGTGGAGCGTCACAGTATCGGATAGGTTTTGTACCACACTTTTGTGCAGTCTGTAGCAGAAGTGAATAAGTAGGAGCGGGGACTCGATTCCACTGAGACGGAAGTAAAAAGTGAGGCGTGTGGACTAGGATTTAGTTCACTAAACCCTCTGTCTCCGCCAACCGCTCTGCCACGATATTCGATGTTGTATTACAATACGACTTGTTCCAGTTCTGTCGTTGCTGTTCCGTCATACTATACCGGATAGCTCGGTACGAAAAGCTATTTGGTATAGTATGAAGATAGCCTTAGCAGGAATTACTAGAACAGATTGAACATTTGTAATATTTACTTTAGAGTTTAGCTAGAATCATTTTAAAGAAGAAAGACAGAGTTGCGCTTGTTTCGCTGACTTTCGGCCAGAGTTGCCTAGTTTTTGCTAGAAAACGTTACTTTGCGGGGTCAACGTGGTAACGTTAAGTCAATGAAAGGCATGTTCGTGAAGGGAAAACACCTGTTTCACGAACTTGTCAAGAGTGGGGTTGTAGCTTTATTGACTTAGCCGTAGATGTATTGTTGTTAATATACAGTTAACACCCGCATATAAGAACCTATGATTTCGGAGTTCAGGCTAATCAAGTTCTTATTATTTTACTAGGTGCGTAGTGAGAAATCAGCCTGAAAATGTTCTTGAAATGTTCTTCAAATTTGTTTCAAAAAAACAATACATTATACCTTAATAGAGGTTTCATTGACGTACAATTTTTTTTTACTTCCACGACAAAGAAATTTGAAATAAAAAATAGATGAATACTATAACTAATATATGTAAACCAACAATTAAAAACTCAACGTCAAGTTGTTAAGTAGTTTTAACATTTCATAACTTTTTTTAGTTTACTAGACCAACAGCCATTCGCCTATTTCATTGATTCGTCATTCGGGGGCTTCCTTTTTCATTTTGTCTAACAACATGTTTTATTTATCAGGCTGACTTGCTTCTATATGGTGCTTTTTTGTCCAACTTTCAGCCTGATCCACCTGTTCTTATATGCGGGTGTTTTCCACATTATAATTTGTTAGCATTTAAATCATATAATAGTATAATGGACAATGAGTGATTGGTGCAAAGGAGGGTGAAGTGCACACAACTTGTAATCTTAAGCAAACAAAGTAACTTATCATAATACTCTACAAACTTTTGGCAGCAATAGATCGACCATGATTTTAATCTTTCCCTCATTATACATAAGCAGAATTTTGTTCTCCAAAATCCACTAGTGCGGTCTTTGCATTATAATAGTCGCCAACTAAAGTAGTTTCTGTATGTTTTAATATTGTTTTTATTATTTTTATGACAAACCTTTACCTATTGATAACGAATATTTTAAAAACTACAATGCCTGAGTAAACAGAGGATCGGACCTTTCGAGGCGGCTCCACTGCTGATTTTACACTTGTTTCGCGGCGGAAAAGTCTGTCGGCTGTTTTCTCAGGCATCAATATGTAAAAATAACCAAAAAATTGTCTCACCGTTAATTGGGTTTGCTCATATATGACATAGTGTGTTCCAAGTTTATATCTTAAGCAATAGCCTCTGTTCGATATATTAAAATTCTATAGAAAAATTTATTACCTGACGAGGGCGATATCGGTTTTCGTGTGCAATTTAACGTGGAATTCACGAGTCAGGTAATGGATTTTCCTTGAATCGCGTAATTGAATAAAAATAAGAAAAAAGAAACAGCAATAATATAGTTTGTTTTTAACCTGAGCGAGCGCTCCAGAAAGCCATTTCAAAGTCAACTGCTGTCAGAACTGTCATTGCGTTAGCGAATAGGAAGCACGTTTGAAACCTTCGACAACTTTATTTGTAACTTGTGCTTGTTTTTACATTTGTTTTCAAACTTTTTAAACAAGCTTCACACTAATCTTAAGGATAAAGAGTGGTATTTCACTGAATTTACAACCCGTTTATCTATAACAATCTTTTTTCAAATTTCCAAATCATTTGCTCGAGAAGAAAAATAATTTACACCTTTACCTCTTCGGTGGGAAAACTGAAGGAAATGAAACCTTTTTGCATTTGTTGTGTTACAATTTGACGATAGTTGTTACGTATATGTAGATGCGAAACAGTACCTCTTAACCTCGTTTTCAACTCGCAATTCCACGCTAAATACCTCGCTTCGTTAACCAATCAGAATGCAAGATTTTATTCAATTCACGCGGCGATTCTAACATGACTCCGAGGTTTTAGGGTCGAAATTGAAAAAATTTCACGACTCCATTGTCTCGCAATTGCTAGAAAAGACTTGAGCACAAAGAAAACCAAACCAAATAAAGAAAAATGACCAGAAAGCCTCGGGGTCATGTTAGAATTTAAATATATCGACCGTGGGCTATGGCTTTAGCTGTTTTCACATTGTGTCACTTTGACGACATCATAAGCTCTTCCATTGGACAAGTACAGCTCTCAAGTATAGGGCCTCTAAAGCTGGGTTTTTCTTTTAACAGTGTACTTATTTGGTGAAGTTCGAAACTAGCTAATATGGCGTCTTATTGTCTCCCACAGTGAGTAAATACAGTAAATACAGTAAAAACTATTTGGTAAAAATAAACATATATCTGTTTTTTCGAAAAGGTTGTTTTGCAATTTGTTAAAAAAATGCTTGACTTTGTCCGGAACCTCCGCTTGGCTTGTATGCGAAAACTCTGCGGTAAGACACGAAGAGAACTTTTTAAATTTATGAGCAATGTTTCCTAGCCGTTTTATTTCCAGGTCTTAGGATTTCAAGGGGCATTTTTAATCCATTTTCTGTAAGATACTTATGGTGTAGAAAACAGCTCACGCTTGCATCCAAGCAGGAAGACAAGTTGCAGCTGAAAATTGATAGAAGCCTATTTATATTTCTTTTACGGTTATTTACCCTACAGAAAACGGAGCCAAGCACAAAATTCTCAGTACAGTAATAATTGCTTGATAACACACTGTCAATCGTTTTCGAATTCTATGTTATGAACTGCGAACGTCTATGTTATGAATTGCATAAATTTTTAATGTGTGGGAACCACATTTGCATGGCCGTGGCTCTAAGGATTCTGGAAACTAGAATTTTCTTTCCACACCTAGCTTGAAAGATGGCGCGCGGGAGAAGGTCGGTATAGACTGGCCGATTTTTAGCCGCTTGAGAAGTTATTAAGCTGTACTATCTTTAGTGTAGCACACTATGAAGGATAAAAACCATTTTTGAATTTCAATTCAAGCTTATAATTGAAGATTTCGCAAGTGCAATCATATTCCATGATACGAAAAGGCGGAAGTGGTTGTCGATCACTGTTTTTTTGGCTTCTGGATGCCGTGGAAAGGTAACTCGCTTCTAAACTCCTTGCATGTGAACTATTTAGAAACTAACTAAGGGTAACTTTGTTTTAAAATCTTTGTAACTGCAAACTTTAAAAAAAAATGTTGCTGAAAGCTGAAATGTTTTTACAGATTTCATCCTAGAGATCATCGGATTCGAAAACCAAAGTGAAGGAGAGGTATAAATATTCGATAAATAAGCGAACTTTCTTCTTCCCAATTTAAATTATAAAAGGATACACTGGTGTACATTTGTATTCTTTTGTAACCCGTTATATTCGAGATCGCATGTACAGTTTGTTTCAAGGAGGAATTGGGCATCGATTCTATTCATGTCTTCTGAGAATAATGTCAATAGGATACGTAATTAGCATATTTTCTTGAAGCGACGACGCTGTTAATATAATTTTTTATATATATTAACCTATTTTGACTTCACTTAAAAAGTCGATTTTCTCTCCCTGCCAAAGACTAAAATTGATCCTTTGCATCTCATCGATGCAAAACTTGAATCAGACCTTCGTTTAACCGGCATGTAGTACATGTCTGTACTTGCAAATGAGATATTTTTCATGGTGGCAAGTATTTCAGTAGGCCCTATAGAGACGCACACGTCTTCTCTGATGTCTCATTCACAGAGGACTCTAAAGGACGTGCACTTATTCATCACCTTTGCTGGCGACAAATTAACAGCACTACGCAATAAGGTTCTACTGGGTTATACAGAACGAATTTCATGAAAATTTCAATCCCAACGTTAGTTGACATAATCATTTGTGCGAGACCGTGTTGACATTTGTTCATGACATCTTATCAGTTTAGTTTCTGGATTTTGAGAGATTGTAATAAATACTATTATTTTTTAGGGCCAGCTGTTTACATGGAGGTGGGGGACCCCAGGTAGGTGAGGTAACCCGCTTAGGTGGGGAAAAAAAAATAACCCTCCTTTACATGCAATCTTACAATCCCGCCATCCCGGGGTGCACTTTCGCGGATTATTGAAAGGTCGCTAAGCACGTAAACAAGAAAAATCCTGGCAAACAACGTGTTTTGGCGATTAATGCTCTTCTACATTTACTTGCTCGTGCTCTTGCTACAACCTTCAGTGCTGTGGCTTTCTATTGCTACCTTTAATAATGATCCAAAGCAACCGCCAAAATGAATTTGATGTATCAAGAATCCGACCCCGGCTAGGCGGGTTACCCCACCTTGAAACGCTTGCATGGAAATATTTTAACCCGGATGAGAGGGTTACGCGGTCTGGCAGACCGGGCTACCCGCCTTGGCGGGTCACCCCACCCGTCATGTAAACGTGACCAAATTAAAAATGATAAACTATATGAAAAGGTGGGTAACCCCACCTTATCAGGTTACCTCACCTCCATGTAAACAGGCCCTTTGGCTGGTAAAGTGATAAAGTAGGTACAATTTACCGAGTGAACAAAGAATTAGCAAGTTGCCAAGGTTACAGATTACAAGTTTGCACTGGCTTTTTCTAGGGTGCCCAATTAAACCTCCTTAGGCAGTAGACTTTCTTATGCTACTTAATGAGCGAGGACGGCGGACGGAATTAAGCATTTTCTTCCTGTCATAATCAGGAACAACCCCTTTTAATAGCTGCTTATGTTTGTCTTATCACCATAATAGTATAGGTTTCATTCAACTGCGAGATTTTGTTCGTTGAAACCAAGAAAGTGTTACCTAATATTATGTCAAAAGAGAAAAGAAAAATCTAATGGGGATCCACTTTCAAACCACTATTTTATCTAAACGACTTTACAAAACTAGATTCGTCTTATATAACCGAAGAGGTCGTAAGACGAAACTAGTTTTGTAAAATCGCTTAGTTAAAATAGTGTGTTGAAAGTGGGCCTCCATTAGATTTTTTTGGTCTCTATTGACACAACGTTTCATTCAATCATATATCCATTTGTCTACATTTCTGAAGACTCATGTACCCAATAAAATGATGCTAACTGGAGATTTTCTCACTAGCAGGAGAAAAGTTGATCCAGTGGGCCCACAACATACATTTTCTGTGCTCTTTTGTAAGAGTATATTTACTCGCTATGCAAAGAATTTTCCATAGCAGACAGTTACTTTTTACGCAGTTTACTTTTTACTTCCCTGCTAAACAGGGCTTCCTATTTAATTGACAGCCTCTTATTTTTAAAATTTGTTGAAGTGAGATGTTTTTGCTGTTAGTTGTTTCTTTAGTCAATAGTGCCTCCTCGGATGCTTTCAAAGAATGGCTACAGGTACAACACCATCTGCTGCAGATGAAGAGTTACGTACAACAAACGAAAAGGCTAATTTTCAGCGGCTGACACGGCTTCTGATGTGTGGAGGACTCGCACTTTTAAGGGAGGTGTTTGACGCCATCCATCCACCAGCTAATCTTCCAGCTGTGCTTGGTAACCCTGCCGTAAAGAAGCAGCTTCAAACTCTTAGAAGAAACAGAGTCCTTACGTACCCCGAGTGGGAGTGCCTTTACAACCCATCGTCAGGAGCTTATGGAATGGCGACTGATTTTGATATCAGTTTACTTTGTAAATTGCTTCGAGAAATATGCAACCTCCCCTCACCCATTACTGGATGGGACACTTTACCTTCCAGCACTAATCACAGTCTTGAAGCAGACTTGGTTAGAATCAGGATTTATCGTAACGAAATTTATGGTCACAACCACAGTATGGAGATAACAGATGCTGATTTTAAGAAGCTTTGGGAGAAAATCAGTGAGGCACTATTGAGAATTGCTGGCGGCGTAAGTAGTGCAAAGAGGGATGAGTGGAAGAAGTCCATCGAAAGCTTTTTCCATGACCCACTATCACCAGATGCAGAAGAAAATGTCATACAACTTCGGTTATGGTACAGAAAAGAAATAGAGACTAAAGACAAAGTAGAAGAGCTGGCGGAAGAGGTGAAGCAGATAAAAATTAAACAAGAGCAAATGCACATGGACATACTCATCCTTGTTGACTCTTTTAGATGTAAAGCAAGCGGTACTTCTGTCCCTCCATTGCCCATTGCAGTCCGACAAGTGCAAGTTGCCCGATTGCAATCTAAACTAAGTGAAGAGACACGAACACCAATACCCCAAGAGAAGCCATCAATAGAAGACACTCCAACGGGTCTATCCTCTCCATCCGCAAGCACGGAACTTCAAGGAAGTCAGCAGAATCGTCCAATAGTTCTTGACTTCTGGTATGTTGTTTATTCATTCAAGAAACCGCTAGACGTATTGCTTGAATATCTGAAATTAAAGCTTGGAGTTGACGTTCAGGGCTACCGACTAGGCAGCTTGATCGTAACAGTTTCCTGCAGTTCATTAGAGGTACTCGAGGCATTGTGGAAGGATTACCGCACAGGGCATCTTAATGAAGTGGTTCAAGTTACGCTTGTAAGAGAAGAGGTTCTGAAACAGCTTGACCTCAGAGAGGCGACACTGAGAACCATTATTTCAGAGGAAGATTACTTATCATACAAAAATTTTTTGAAGTACAGATCAGGTAAGCCACACGTTAATAATTTTCAAAGAAAAAAATTGCTACTAATGAAGTTTGTGGGTTGGGCAGTTTTGGAGCCCGTGCGCGCTGAGCTGTTAAACCAAGCAGACAATCAAAAATATGAAGAACAGGAACAAAAGGAGAAAAAAAAAACAAATCGGCAATGATTTTTATTTATTTATACATAGTTATTAGGGGAGACTGGTTATGAAAAGCGGCAAACATCAATGATAAAAACAACAGTGCTGCAGTTTATTTTCAAAGCACCGTGAAAGTGCACAATCCTTTGTTTTCTGTTGGCAAATTGTTACGGAATAAATTAATGCAACGTTTTTATTGGTCAATACAATCAAAACGATAGGAATTCTTTTGAACGTTGTGCACTTTCAGGTCCACAAAAACATATAACAAAGGAGTCTGACGGGTTTCATAACCATTCCACTCAATTAACTATGATTTATATCACTAGATTTTCATAGCATTTATTAACTATAGTAGTATTAAGTCCTGACGGAGGGAATTCGGAGAATACAAGACCGGTATAGCGGTAAAAAAAATCGCAATAAGCGTAACTAACACAAGCTTTCAGCTCAACATCAAAACAACGTATATTCAGCTTTTGCAGATAAATACATGTGATCATGCATTAATTGTTTAAAGTACAAGTTGGCAGGCAAGATTTTGCAAAGAAAATTTCTCGATCCAAGTCTCTTATTTGCAAAGACTTTATTTATTCTCCTTGGACGCAATGATCCACTGCCGGGTACTCTTTTATTCTTACTACCAAGAGATGTAAATGAGGTCACGGCTTTTAAAGGTCTATAATTTGTAGTGTGTTGTAAGGTGAAACATTCAGTGTTCCGCTCGTTTTGTAGAGCATTCAAAACACAAAATACGCTATAAACTGGCACGTACGGTAGATGTGTTGATGGGTTTCAATTTGGTTGCCAGGAAAGTCTCTAAACCGTCTCATTATTTTTAGGTAAAACAAAAAAGAGGGCGCCCCAAGACCCAACCATTTCCAAGCCTAAGCCTGCTGCTGGTAAGGTATTATTATGTCAAGGCTAGGGATCATTGTTGTGTTCTCTGTGACGTAACTCGAGCCCCCCCCCCGACCGGGGGTACTCCTGAAAATTTTTTGGTGGGAGTGTGCAGCCCGGTTCTCCTGAACCCGACCCTATTTCAGACCAAAAAATGTCATTTTCCACACCCTTTTTCAGACCTGGAGGTGGTCTTAAAACGCAACATTAGGCCCGGCCATCTTATTTCCCCTGACCAAAGAGCCTTAATCAGCTGTTAATGTTTACATATGACAGAAATTTTGTCATCATTGTATTAAAATACATTTCAAATTCGCATATTACACTTTCTTTTACTTTTAAACTCGTCGGCTCGTAAAACTATACCTTCTTGCGGAACCACAACAAAGTTAGTCAAAGCTTTTAAGAGAGAACCTTATTATGTATTCCTTCATATCTGTTAGGTAAAACGAAAATTAAAGCTCTCCCAGGAGAATTTGTATCTCGGCTTGCTGCAGGTAAAACCCACCTGTCTTTCTCTTTTTACTAACCGGTTTGTGTGTGGGAAAAGTGATTATCCTATAGTTAGTCAAAGCTTTAAGAGATAACCTTATTTTACTAGTATTCCTTCATATCTGTTAGGTAAAACGGAAAGTAAAGCTTTCCCAGGAGAACTTGGATTTTGGCCAGCTGCAGGTAAAACCCACCCGCCTTGTTCTATTTACGTATCGGTTTGTGTGTTAGAAAAGTGATTATCCTAGAAAGTGAAATTTTCAGTCAAGTCAGCTACGCGAGGTTTCCCTTTCATCGACGTTAGGTAGAGCGGAAATGAACACATCTCGGGATATGTCATGTACGGAAGTTGCTTATTCTGCGCATGCTGGAGGTAAGATGTACACCTCATCATGATCATATGGTATTTTGACAAAAATGATAACCTAAGAAAACGGCCGACATTTTGCGACACCACCAATGGTCCCCCCCCCCGCAATGACGTCGTCTGTGAAACGAGCGCAGAAATTCCATACTCATGACGCGTCACCACCCAGGTCTGGGCAGTACTTTTGATTGGTCGTGCCGCCAAGGGAAATTTGCTTTAGCCAATCAGAATGGGTAGGTTTGCCACTTTGAGTTTGCGCAGGAGACCGGGTCGAGATGGTTGTCAAAGTGCATTGTGGGACTCTTTTGGGAACGCATTTTAAACAGGGACATAATTAAAGGTCTAAAGGTCTGTTGAGGAGTTTATATAAATATGTTCCCTAATTGTTTCAACAAATGTTATATTTTTCATGATCGAGAAGTATGGTGCCTTTACTTAAACTTCTCGGCTTGTAAAACTTTACCTGCCTTCAGGAACCACTACATAGTTAGTCAAAGCTTTTAAGAGATAACCTTATTTTGTATTCCTTCATATCTGTTAGGTAAAGCGAAAAGTAAAGCTCCCCCTGGAGAATTTGTATCTTGGCTTGCTGCAGGTAAAACCTCTCCCACCTTTTTCTCTTTGCTAATCGGTTTAGCTCTGGTTGTGTGTTAGAAAAGTGATTATTCTAGTGTGTGAAATTTTCAGGCAAGTCGGCCATGTGAAGCTTTGAAGTGATCTGTTGGTTTTGATTTCCCTTTGATCCACGTTAGGTAGAGCGGAAATGAACACTCTTCAGGAAGTGAGTGTGGATATGTCTCTTACGGAGGTTGCTTATCCTATGCGTGCTGGAGGTAAGACGTACACGTCATCATGGCATTTTCACATATTGATAGCCTGAGGCCGAGGAAACAGCCGACATTTCGCGCCGCCATCGGTGGTTTCCCCGCGAAATGACGATAACGCATCACTATCCAGATCTGGGTGGTGCTTTTGATTGGTTGTGCCCTAAGGGAAATTTGCTTCAGCCAATCAGAAGGGGTAGTATAGGTGGGAGGAAAGAAAAATATCCTAGACAGTTACGTAACCATTCATATGCTTACAGAGCAATTTTTCTGCTGTTTCTTTAAGTTAATTAAATATACTTTCCAGTAAAAAAAAAAATCAAAATAACGCTCAATGCATCCTCATTTCTTCGCAAAAATCAATAGTTCCTTTTCAACAAGAGTTTGCTATCAAATAGTGAAATTTTAAAATAGCTAGAAATACCTTAAATTCACCTTCGCGAATTTGAGATACCACAAAGGTCAGAGTTCAAATAAGATAACCGGGGTCATATAGCTTTTCGTTACGCTTCCTGTCGTTCTCATTTCTGCCGGAGACAAGACCACAAGCAATACTACGTTTTTTTTTGCTTCAAAGTTTCACTTAATACATTTAGTATTGATCACAAACGTGGATTTAAACAAACCTACACGATTGAGCATGCCAAGTATAATTCGACCAATAAAGGGTTGACAACAGAACTTAAGATTTCGACTAAACCAAAACAGAAATTCTGATTTAGGTAAAACTCAAAGTGAGTTCTAATTCCAAGCACGGCCACTTCAAGAAACGACACTCAAATTTAACCAATTCCTAAAATTAAAGACGATTAAAAAAAACCTATCAACACCAATGCAGAGCTACAAACCATCAACCAAAAAAGGCATGACATGAATGATTAAAACAATTCACAAACTACTTACACCAAAAAAAAAAAGCGGGAAAAAAGTGTTGGTGTTCATGGTTCGAGTGTCCGCACTGTAACATCCCCCTCCCCCTTCTTTAGAAAAAGCATCGTTCATGACACAAAAGGACACAAAAAAATAAAAAAATACTCCTCGTTACATTGTTCATATTATAGAGTCCATTATAAAGATAAAAGAGCAGCCAAAATCACAAACAGCCAAAGAAGGGTCAAAAGTTGAACTAGCTTGCAAGATTGAGAGAGCGAGCAAGAAGTTCATGTATCAGTGGTATAAAGATGGTGTTGCCATGGATGGAAAGAACAAGACCGTTCTTGTTCTGGATCCAGTTGAGCTGCGGGATTTTGGGTCTTACGTGTGTCATGTGAGCTTTAAGGATTCATATGATGAAGGCGAAGAGACAAACACTGCAATACTTGACGTCATCCCTCAGCCGGGGCGTAATGGAATGAGACCGAAACTTCTGACAGAGTTAGACTTCGACACGATGTATGATGTGGCATTGCTATTGGAAATCAAGAAACCTGGGCTCAGGGACTGGAGAGCAATTGGTCTTAAATACGGTATCAGAGATTACAAGCTAACGGCTATGGCTAATTCCGGTGAACCTGGGACAGAACTCCTCCAATTTTTGAGAGCGTCCATCCCAGATTTGACGGTATATGATTTTTGTAAAACACTCAAAGAAGACAGCTTTAAGAGGTTGGACATTGTAGCGAAACTAGAGAATCACCTTTTAGTCGCGATCAGTGACTAAGATGGGCAGTGAATGTGGGCGTGCTCGAGGTTTTGGCTGGTTTCATTTATTGTTTGCAAGAGAATGGTCCAAAAAAAGGCCTCAAGTTGTTTTGAGGAATTCATGGTGTTAAATGCCCCCCACCCCTAACTCAGTTAGGGCTGAAAGTAATAATAGTTATAGTGATTAAAAAAAAAGCACCGGAAAACACCGGAAAACACCGTACATCGTGATGATGGTGATGATGACGATGATAATAACAATAATAATAACTACAATAATAGTAATAATAATAATAATAATAATAATAATAATTCCTTTATTTTAATATCCTCGTCAGTATTTATAGCACTAATGCTAGTGGGGCCGTGCAAATGCGTGAAACAAATAATTCAAATCAAACTAAACAGAGTTAAGAATCCCAACTGGCCAGAGGCAAACCAGGTGGCTATTTACAAGCATGGACAAGGATTTTAAACTCGAGACTACCATGAACAAATCCAGGGATATCGACAGTTATGTCAATGTAATTCATGACAATTATTATAATGAAACTGCTTGGTAGAACTGTAGTTTAAGTGAATGCGTCTTGTGAACAAAGGCAATGCTCTCAATAATGGTATGCAAACTTGATATGTTTAGAGAAATAGAATAATCACCACTTATGAGAAAATAGATAGTTTCAGTAAATCTGTAGCAAATGTTAAGAATTTTAAGAACGAGTGTTAGCTTAGGTAGCATAGTCACAAGCAATTTTTCACACAAGTCAGTTGGAGGTTTGAAGAAACCCAGGTCACATTAATTTCTGCTAACAGAATTGAACTTAGCGTCTCTTTATATTCAACGACTGTCATATTCAACGCGTTCTTAGAGCCTTCTCGCCAGCTATGCCATGCTTTAGCATATTAATTGTTTGAGGATGAGAAAAATATCCTGAGAATGGTAACGGTTCTGCTGTATGGAGTTTCACTGCTGTGTTGTGAACTACCATTATGTGATTGCAAGGATCACAATACTTTAAGAGGACAAAAATAATAAGCCGTTCTTTTTCAAGGAACTGTCTTATAATAATTAAAAAGTGAAACTACTTTCACAGTGTAGCTTGAAAACTATTCTTTTTTATTTAAAAATTTATGACAACTTTGATGGAACGTCTCAATAGCTGGGAGAAAGGGAGGGGGTTAATAATATTATTATTAAGGACGCAAACTAAACAGACACTGATGTTTCGCATTTGAACACATCCACTGCATGTACATTTTGCGCAAAAGGAAACATAATTCAATGTAAGTACGCTCCTGTTTCTGCACATGCAATCAAACAGCAAAACTCGCATTTGGGCCAGGGAACACCACAAACCTATTTTTCAATGTAACAAATTTTGTCTGTGTTGTACACTGTAGGTATAGAGAGGTAAGACATATTTTACACCCTGTACATAATTCTTATTGCTATCTAAAATGTTTTTTTTTTTGCCCATAAGGCCAAGAAATGACTCAAAGATCATTGCGTTTCCTGCCCTTGCCCTCTGTATACATCACTAACACACACCCATTGGCCTTCGAGTGACTCCTTCCATAAGCTCACCTGTACAAAAGCAAATGGAAAACAAGCTAGGAGAAGTTTCAATCTGCAGTGAAAGTGCAGGACACTTTCATTCACTGAGGAATATTTCAGGGAACATGGCAAAGTGAACATGCCATTTCTTTAAGTTTTAAAGGCTTGTTTATAGTGGAAAGTGCACTTAGCTTATCCAGCTAGTTTATAGGCACTCCACTAAAAACAAATGATTCAAACACAATAAACCAGGATTAAAAACCCCAACTGGCAGGAGGCATCCAGTTGGCTATTACCAAGTGTGACTGAGGATTTGAACAACTGAAAACAAATCCAGAAAGTGGTCAGAGCCGGACTCGAACCCTGGACTGCCGGATTGCAAGTCTGATGCGCTGACCACACGGCCATGCTGCCTTCTCTTCCCCTGCATCCCCTCAACAAAAGTTAAACTGTTTCGTTTTTGCCTAAAAGAAACCTGGACAGTTTTGGGTAAAGGTGACTATCAGAGAGAGGATATCTCTCGCCTGTTTCTTACACAACTTTCAAGAAAGGGTCACAGCAGATAAAAAGTGTCATTTAACATGGTATCTCAGCCACTTTAAGGCTAATTCGACATTTACTTTACCTTGTTATCTCCACCAGATACAGCTAAAATATTCCCTGTTACAGACCAACTAACATGCCAAACAACATCACCAAACTTCTTTAAAACCTGAAAAGTAAACACAACCTTGTTATCAAACTTGGCCATTTAGCAAAAAGCTGCAATAATACATTGCTAAGAAAAGTTTAGGGGGCCCCTTTCAGTCTCTTTATGCATCATGTGGTGAGATGAAAATTTAACAAAATTGCTTGCCCATTCTGGTGTTAAAACTTACGGATAATAATATGCCTCTGGGAAACTGCCCACCTACCCTTCCCCTAAGCAAACATTTTTCCTAAGTGAGAAGTAAGTGTTCATGTTGGCTTAGGGGAGAGAGAGACCAGAGCAGTCATGCACTTAACTACCAACCCCCCTTTCACTAAAATTTACTTAATCGCGGCAAATGATGCTTGCCTATAAGACAGCTCATAATTAAAACAGGCTCTCCCAATGGGTTGGTCCACTAGCCCTTGGTGTTGGTGATTGGACAATTTTCTCGCGCCCAGTTGTTGTCACCACTTTTATCACATTATGACAGATTTACATGTTTGTCAGTTACAGTTTACAGTCAAGGCGGGTCGAGCGCACCCCCTGAGATTCCATTAATGAATTTATTATTCAAAAGTTGAATCTGTTGATAGTTGTAGATTTCAGATTCATCTCTACATTCTTGCATGCATAATGAGCAGTAAATTCACCCAGGAGGCAGTTATGAAATTTGTAGCACCTCAGTTTCCCTGAATTGATGTAAATGTCTTGAAGCAGTTTTATCCATTCAAAGATTTTCAATCTGACCAAATACAGAGAATTTCTCATAAAATATTCACTGCTCATTACACATGCAGGAACGCCCAATTTGAATTTGACAGTAGTTACGGGAGTGACTAACAGATTCATTTTTCAAATAATAAATTCATCAATAGAATCTTGGCAGGTACGCTTGACCTGTCTTGACTGTAACCTCCCAAGAGCGACCACATAAAATGTGAAGAGTTACCGTAATGGGCCCTTAAGGGAGGCAGGTGTTTACAAGAGTCGAACAGTCGAACTGCAGAAGGTCTTTCAAGAGGAGAAGTCTAGACACATCTCCGTTTTTGAGAGAATGTATTGAATGCAAGAACATATGTGAATCCAAGTTGTTTCTTAAAGTTCTTCTCATATTCTGAGTAGTGTAGTACATACAGTGAACACAAAGAGAAGACCATAGTATCAGGTGATTGCTTAACCCTTCAACTCCCAACAGTGACCAAAATCAATTTTCTCCTAACCATATCCATGAATTGTCAAGAGCAACGTCTACGAGAATTAATAAAATCATCTCAAAGAGAAAAATCTTTGAACTTTTATCAAATTCTCTCAACTAATTCTTTAAGGACATGTATGGAGATCAGTTTGGAGAATTTGTATGCGGATATTGGGACTTAAACAGCACTCCAAGCTGCGACCATTTTGGTCGCCATGGCGAGTGAAAAAAAAAAATTGGCGACTGAATTATCGGCGAAAGTCGCCATTTGGCGACCAAAGGATATAAGCTCAAAAGAATAAAGTTGACTTCACGTTTTATCGCTTTTTAACTGAATCATCGTTAAATTAAAGAAATATTACCAAGCTTTTCTTCTGTGTAAATTCAACGTCAACAATGAGTGGAAGTTATTCAGGCAAGTTTCATTTAGCACGTACAAACAGTATTTTTGTCATCAACTTTGAAGTAAGAAACGTTTATTTAGGCCAGAAGTATTGTTATTGTTATTGTTATTCTTGATTCAAGTTTTAATTTACATATGTGAGTGGTTTCAATGCCAATGATTTAGCTAAAGAAAGATGTTTCTTAGCAAGTAGACGGTACGAACAAATGTATATTCACGTAATCGTATCTGATCAGATTTGTTTCAATGATATCACTGCAAATACATGTTCCGGGTTTCAACATCCGACTTTGTAGTAAATTGTTCTGGTTACCTCTCATAAATGTCTTTGCCTGTTTTTGCCATCTTGTACTGCGTTTACAACCCTCAGGCAAGTAACAATGGAGTGTTAAAAACACGATTTATTTCCGTACACAACGTTCAGCAGTAGCTCCTTCATGTAAGTAGCATGAAGTGTCTTGCGTTAATGAAACGACAATTTTTGGCGACCGAAATTTTCCATTGGCGACCATTTTAAAAATGAAGGTCGCCAAAAGGCGACTTATTGAAAAAATGAGCTTGGAGCGCTGTTAAAGGGTTAAAAGAGGTTAAACAATAGAAGATTCTGAAACCATCACTCTAAAAAGTGGTTGTGACTGCTTATGAGAGGCTGTCATTTATGACAAGTGGTCACACATGAAGGATTGACCGTATTGTAAATACAGTACCTGCAACAGCACTTACAATAAATTGTGTTGAAACTACATTGTACTAATTTCTTTATCGGAAACAACTATTTGATCTTAAGACTTGAGTCCCAGTAGATGTTTTTAGAGACCTGTATTTACCTTAGAAGACCAACCACCACCTGTAACCTCATTTTTTGTCCAGATAACTACACGACAATCCTGTCAAAAAACCAAGCAAAATGCTGTCAAGTTCTCAAAGTAACTTTCACTGGAAGCTCTCCTAACCAAGACTCTCCTACGTGGACAGCTCTACTAATGGCTATGTGACAGGTTTTTTAAATTCAGGTTAAAATTTTTAAACCTAGGTTGATTCTGAATTTCCTTTGTTTACTAGCCCTGATTCATGAATAAATAGGGCTAGGTGACAAAGTAAATTCAGAATCAACCTAGATTAAAAAATTTTAACCTGAATTAAATTTTGACCTGTAACAGCTACCTTCACAAAAC